CCGCCAGCCCCCTCCCCCAACCCTGAGTTACTTATCTTAGGCTGTCCCCATGTAAAAGCAAGGTCACAGCCCTCTACTGTGAAAACCAGTTCTGCCTATTCCTTTTACACTTTATTTCCCAACTTCTCATCTTACCTATCTAGAGTGCACACAGCTCAGACTCAAATATCAGACAGAAATCACCTCTCAGAGCATTCAGTGCTTTCCCCTGTATGTAGAAGATTGCCTCTCTAGTCCTTCATTTGGCAGGGTTTTAAATGATGCTCCCACTTCACTTGTAACGCTTACTATCAAGAATTTTTGCCTGATATTTCCTGATAATATGGTTATCCTTTCTCTCCACAGGACTATCTGACAAAATCATGTGGGTATTTCTTTGATTTACACCTGTGAACAAGCACAAGACACAGCACTTGGATAGCAGCTCTTAGGATTTGCAGGAAACCTTTAAAGCAGCAGAGGCTTTTTAGCAGGCATGTCACAAATGAGCCCTGCACCCTCCCCAAGTGCCACTGCAATCCACTTCCCCGGCCCCATCTGCTGCTCTGCTTTCTTCTTCCTGCCCTATCTTTCACTGTGCTGCTTGCCCCCTTGATGATCTGCTGCATACCACAGACAGGCTGCTTGTGCCACCTATGAATAGCTGGAGAGAGAAAAAATTATTTGGGGGGGCTGAGTGTGCGTGCATGCATGCATGTGTGCTCCACCCCTCAGCAGGTAAGTCTGGGGGGCTGGGTGTTAGGACGATTGGTCCCCAGGTGGCTTGTCTAGGGGTGCAGGGGGGTTCCCACCCATGTGCATACCCCAGCAGAGGCCCCAGGGTCACGTGTCCCCTGATCTGTTTGTGGGATTGAGGCAGCTCCCACTACAGGCTGTGCTTTGTGCCCTGCTGCAGCTGCCATTGCCTCCAGACCCCCACAATGCCATGTGCATCCCGCTGCGGGGCGGGCAGGGGGCGCAGCACAGCCTGGCAGTGGCAGGCATGGGGCATCGCACCACTCCTGGGGCAGTTGCAGTGGGGAGCAAAGCAAAGCCTGCAGCAGCAGCCACCTCCACCCCACACACAGATCAGGAGGCACGTACCCCTCCAGGCCTCTGCCGGGATGCACGCAGCAGCAGGAGTCCCCCCACACCCCTGGAAGAGCCACCTAGGCTCCAACTGTCCCACCATCTGACCTGGCTGGGACCCCATTCACCCAAGCCTCTGGCCCTGCCTGTGCCCCTCTCTCTCCCTCACCCCAGAGGCCTTGATCTGCCCTGCCACCCCCTTCTCTTTCACAGAATCGAGTGGTACTTGCTTGCTGTGCTGGGCAACCAGTGATCTGCACACAGGGCTGACATCCTGGCTGCATGTGCACCCCTCCCCACCCCTGCTTCAGCCTCCTGGAGCCCACAGCCTGGCTGACTTGTGGCCCTAGCCACTGCCCTTGTTTGGGGGTGGGGGGCTGAGCCCCATTAGCCCTGGCTTTCCACCATCTATACACCTGTGGCACACCCCCTGCTTGTAAGTGGGCTAACAGTAAAAACAGTGCTTGACTTGTACACTGTCAGAGCTAAATGTTTTCAAAGTACTACACAAATGTTAATTAACAAGTTGCTTTTTATACTTATTACACCAATTATCCTTTGTAAATATAATCTTTGTCTCTATGACTAATTTGAAAGCACTTTCATTCAGTTCTCACGCAGAGGGGGAAAAGAGCTAAAGGCTTTAGTAAAACAGAACTGGGTCAACTCAAACTGAGACCAGGTGAATTCCCCTTGAGCTTACATGTAGCCATTTTAAACAGTATTGTTTGGTTTCATTTTTCTTCAGGTTATTACAGTACAGCACCAACAAAAAAGTTCAGGCAGTAAACTTCAAGGAGATGAAGAGAAGCCCACTGAGGTTTTCTACCATAATAAATTATTGAACAAATCCTGAAAATGCTATTAATTTCTTACCAGCTCTTTCTAAGGATGAAAATCTATTCAACTTATTTGATCCATTTGGCTTTAAAAACCATTACACGTGTATGAATCTACATTGTTTGATAAACCCTCTCTGTTTTTCACTTCTGAATCTTTTCTACGCCTGCTTGTTTGGTGACCACATGATCTATGTGATTCAGAAGAGACTGTTTCACAATGTGGTCTGAGCTCCTGCATAGCAAAAGCCACAAGACTTCACTGAATTAATTCCTACTTGGACAAGCACATAGCTGTTAGAAAAACATCCAATCTTAATTTAATAATGCCCTGTGATAAAGAATCCACTGCAGTTACTGTGTAAGTTGTTCTAGCATCTTATTACTAACATTGGTATACATTTGCACCTTATCTGGAGTTTGTTATATCATTGTCTTCTACAACCCATATAATCATTCTCTGTGAAAGTACTTACAAACTGTGATCAAGTCATCCCTTAATTTTCTTTCTTTGATAAATTAAATAGATTGAGGTCCTTGTGTCTTTGATATAAGACATACCTTCCATGTCTAAATAATTTTCATGGCTCTTTTCTGAATACTTTCCAGTTATATGTCCTAAGGTTGTTGCACTAGCCTTTTCTGTCCACAGTGTTGCACAGAAAGTTTATCGTTAAGCTGATTATTCACTAAGTCTTTTTGCAAGACAGTTCCCCATGCTGTAAGTGGGCCCTACATTCTCTGTTCTTAGATGCAGGGCTTCTACATTTGGCCAGGCTGAAATGGCCAAATATCATTTGCATGTGCCCAGTTTACCAAACAATTCAGATCATGTTGTATCACCGACCTGTTTACTTCGTTATACACAGAAATTGAAATCTTTGTGACACCTGCAAATATTATCAGGAATGATTTTGTTTTCCTCCAAATGTTAATTTCTGTAGAGATAAAAAACAATTGCTTTGCAATTCCATAATAAGTTTACCTTCCCATGGTGATTCCCTATTTACAGATATACTTATTACACAGTTTCATTCAAGCTTTGCCACTCATAAGTGACACAGCCACCTAATTAATGCCTATTTAAAAGCATTTGTAGTTCCCATTGTATAACAACTATGGAGTAATGCCTACTAATTTTCAAACCATAAGGATGTATAAAGAGAACAACCGAGGGGTTATAGGTAGGGACCTACTCAATTCGCAATTTTGCAGATTTTGTGGAAGTCACAAAATTGGGTGTTGTCTGCAAAATTATGGTTTGTCTATGAAACCCTCAAAATAAAAAAAATACTTACTAAAAATAAAATGCTGGCTACCCAGTGGGAGCTAACGGTCTTCATGACTGCTGTGACCTGGCCTCTCAGTCTGCTGGGGAAGGGGGAAAGGGGGCGTGTGAAGAGGAGTAGCCAAGATGGCAGTCTTTCCCCACCCCCCACGACTGATTGGCTGAGAGGTCTGCCTTTCGCATCCATCTCCACCAATCAGTGGTGAAGGGTGGGACCACCAGGGCCCCTCAGCCAGTCAGAGCCTGGGGAGGGAGGGGGCTTACTGCGATAAGCCTGTGAAAATGGTAGTCAGCCTGTGATTGGCCCATGAAATTGACTGCCTTCCTGCTTGATTTTAGTAGGTCCCTACTTATAGAAGATTCCAAACTGAAGCATACTGAGGAGCACTGTGACCAGTTTGGGGCACCATACTTCAACAGCGATGCTACAACTGGAAAGAGTTCAAGAGAAATCGACAAAAACAATCCAAGGTCTAGAAAATGTGAGGAAAGTTGGAAAGAATTTGCTTTGCTTATCTTAGAGAAGGTCGAAGGGTCACTTGATAAGTTTTCAAAGATGTATGTTTACTATAAAGAGGAAAGTTATAAACTGATCTCCATGTCCAGTGAGGTTAGGACAAGAAGTAAGGGAATTAAAATGCAATGGAGGGTATTTAGCTGAGACATTAGGAAAAAAGCTTACTATCTATAAAATTAGGTACATTCTAGAATAGATTACCAAGGGAGGCTGTGGGATCTCCATCACTATTGGCTGTTAAGAGAAAGTTGGACAGGTATCTGTCAGGAAAGGCTTAGTTATATTTGATTCTTCTTTGAGGCAAACAGATGGACTCAAAGTTTCTTCCAGCCCCATTTTCTGTGATTCTATGGAATATATGTTACTGCCCAATAACCACCTTACCTGCACGTTTCAAACCCAAGTTGGTATGCTTTTTTCATTTGTTCCATTGTTGGCAAGGTACTATTGAGAGCTCTGCAGAGTACAATTGCATCTTCTCTCATAAGACTGTAGCGACGATTTTTTTCAACATGGAAAACCCCAGCATATCTGCAACTTATATTAAATTCTGGCAATGGAAGAAAAAAGAAACATGATTAGACTGATGAGACATGGCATTCCGCTGAAATCCTGGCATGATTTTATTTCCATGTACATTGATATTACAGAGAAACCTCAGGATCAGATAATCATACTGGATGAGCTCTAAATATAGTGTTCCAAACTTCCCTCAGATCCTTTTTTGGCCAAACAGCTCAGAACTCCTTCACCTTTTTAAGATCAGCAGCTCTATGCTTTTGTGAGGTGTATTTGAAAACAGTTATAAAAATTGCAGATGATTTAAGCATGCTTTGTGAGTCTTTATAAGCCTACTTCTATACCTAAAGAGATGGTATCTGAAAATCCAGGTCCATTTTAAATATGTTTAAATCTAAATGCCTCATGTACAAAGGGAACAAAGAGAAAAAGGTGAAAATGGTTATAAACTTGTCAATTCCTGATGTACAATATCCACCCCTATTCTAATTTGTCTTATTCTGGTCACTTTAAAATTGATTTTTTAAATTAAAATATACATCAAGCAAGAACTAGCATATTTCAGCAAGAGTTCAAGAACTGTGTTCCTTTTAGGCTTAGATCTTTTTGATAAAGACAGACTCTTTAGACTATCAGCTGCTGCAGCTGTAGAAAGCAAGAAAGTACTCTACATCAGAATTCCTAATAACACACAAGTGTTAAACTGCTAAATGCTCACTTAGCTGGCCAGGAATGGTTGGGAAATAACTAATACATGTAATCTCAGTGCACAAGTGAATGAAATTGCTCTGTCCTAGTTTTGCAAATCTTTCCTTCCAATCAGAAAGTTCCCTTCCTCCTCCCCCAGACATCCTGATCTCACTTTCATTTAGAAGCAACTTCAATCCGTCTCTTCAGGAAGATAGTTCCTGAAAGCACTATGGGGCAAGACACAAGCAATTTTAGTGACCACAAAAATATTTATTTAAAGACACCAAGAAGAAACATCATGCCCACCCACTCCTGCTCCCCATGTGCCAAACCCACGCGTGAGACAGGGAAGCTTTGCTGAGAGAATATGCCATGTCCTGTCTAAAGAGCTCTCTTTCTGGCATGTTTAGAAGCAGTAGCAAAATGCTCGCAGGCCAGCTTCACCACTCTTTTCTGGGTTTGATGTATGTGAAGCAAGTGGACTGGCAGATTCATGCATTTTGGCAGCACACTCGGGAACACCCATTGCCATTATGAGGTGGTAATACAGACATACTCTAAATTGTGCTGCAATGTGACATGCAAATGATGTCAACCTACATCAAGTTGGAGTCATTTAGGATGATCTCTGTATTTGGGCCAGATTCCCGAAAGCTTAAGCACCTAAACAACATTAAAACTTGCAAACAAATATACAAATGGAAAACCCCTTCTTAGTCCACTCAACTTCTTCCCTCATTGACTTCCTATTGCCTTCAAAGGTATCTGCTAGGAACCTGAAAAATCAGACCACTTGGTACTGAAATATGAGATCAGAAGACTAACTTGAATGTAGGACTGGAAGGGACCTCCTGGATAATTTCAGGCAACCACATCACATAATTCCTTTAATAAATGTATTTATGGATTGATTAGCTTTACTTGCCATCCTGCCCAAAAAGACTCAGAGTGGCTTACAATACAAGAAAAAAAGAATTATAGAAACAAAGTAAAATATTAAAATAATATTAAAACATATAAATGCCCCGCATTGAGAGGGAAAAAAATTAAAAGCAATCCACCTTATCCAATTTGTTCCCACTCCTCTGCCTCTGACCAAACTCAACCTCACGTCCCGAACTATATCACATACTTCCAGTACCTCCCTCAATGACTCATAAAACATAAATAAAAACAAGAAATTGGCTCCTGCCAAAAGGCAGGACCAAAGGGCTCCTTTCTAAAGCCACAAATTGATTGAGGCCTTTCCTTGAGCTCCATCTTAAGACTAAGTTTTTCTTGTACTTTGGGACCCTTTTTTAAAAATCATGACCATATTGTAAAGTTCATCTTCTGGCGTGGGGCCATGAAACACTGAACAAGCAGTACATTCAGCCCCTGACAGAGGGAAGAGCACTACACTGTTCTGTACAGACTGCATCAGCTGACACAGGGTGTGCAACAAGAGGTTCCAAAGAGATCTTTTTCCTGGAAAGACCAGCCTATATT